GTCTCATGGAGGCTAGAGAACAGGAAAGGCCTGGAATCAGGAAGTGTCAAAGGCGAGAATTGTCCCTGTGCCCTTTCCGGGTATCTCCTGCATTTTTTTCCCCCTCTCTGCACACGTGCTCTGTCTGCTCTTCTGTCCTCTTGTCAGAACACGGCCACCACACCCCCAGCTTGTGAGCTTGTGAGTTCAGACACATGGAGAGACTCTTTCACATCTAAATCTCCAGGAGAGAATCTGATTGGCCCAGTTTGGGTCAAGTGACCACCTGCCCTCCACCAATCAGTCGGAGTCACTGAGTACAAATATGGCTGCCAGGCCTGCCAGTGAGAGCAGTTCCCAGACAAGGGCCTTGCGGGGGGCATTAGCTTAAAGGCCGACAGACACAATACCAAAACTTTAGGTGATGAAGCTGTCGTGTGCCTAGAAGAGGATAAGGCAGGGTGAACCCCAAGTAGACAAATGCCTGTCTCGACTTCCTTCCTCGTTAGCAAAACCTCTTAGGTGGATACACTCTTACTTGAAGACAAGATCAGAGCCAGGCCTGGCCTGCCACTCGTTGGGATTGCTGGATCGCTGCCTCATGGAACATTCACTTCAGCTTCAGGCTGTATAGCAACAGCTCAGCTGGGTCTGAAGCCCTAAACTAAGGCCTGAGTTAGCAAGTGGTTAGGACGTGTATGACTGTGTGACTGACTTGACACCACGCACAACAGCACGGATGGAGCTTTGGCATCTTTTGGAATAATCCCCTTCCCCCTCTTTTTTTTTTTTAAATAATCGAGACCCCAGCAAGCAGTATGTAAACTGTATTTTATAGATTAAATTTCAAAAACACTAAAGGCTGTTCTTTGAAACAACTTTTTGTAGAGTAAATGGTGGCCTTGGATTTGTTTCACAGAGATTTTTGCCAAGGTCTTTCCGAAATGAAGCTCATCTTTGTCGATCTGTGGTGCACACAGGAGGGCAGGGGACGCTTCTGGCGCTGGCAGTGGGGCTCTGTAGGGATGGCTCATGGGCTTCCGGCTCACCACGCTTCAGGCCGCCCCCGCAAGGGCCTGAGGCTGCAGGAAGGCTGCAGTGAGCAGAAGTCATAGCACATCCATGAGGCTCAGGCCGCCATAAATGGGCAAACCAAGGACAGTCATGGAGCTTATGAATTAGCAAGGAGGACTTATACAATGGATTATTGAATTATAATTCCAAAAAGCACTTAAAGAACACACACACAGGATGCTATGACGTTAACGGGGGACTTGAGCAACTCTGGAAACCCTGGTGGTGCAGTGGTTAAGAGCTCAAGCTGCTAACCAAAACGGCAGCAGATAGAACCCACTAGCTGCTCCTTTGAAACCCTATGGGGCAGTTCTACTCTGTCCTGTAGGGTCACTGTGAGTCGGAATCAACTCGACGGCAACAGGTTTGGGTTTTTTTGGTTGAGCAAGTCTGGGGATCAGGCACATCTCATCTGAGAGTGACCTTGGAGCTGAGATTCATAGGAAGGGAGAGTTCATGGTAGAGCTGGGGGATTGCAGGGGAGAATGTTCCAAGTAGAGATAACTGGATGGGCAAAGGGCTTGGGTGGGAGGAGCTTGAAGAGTCCAAGGACACGCAAGGAAATCAGGGTGGCTGCATCCGAGTTGAGGCTGAAGGGGACAGGCCAAGCCAGACCAGTGTGGCTTACAGGCCTCAAAAGGATTTAGGAAATCACTGACGGATTTTGAAAACAATCTTTATTTTCATAAGATCGCTTCGTTTACACTATGAAGATTGGTTGCAGCGTGTAAGAGTGTAAAAATAAAGGCGTCTCACCTGCTTGAATACCCAGCATAGACTCTTCCTTGGGAGATGCTGAAGACAGGCCTTTTCAGAGTGCAAGAGACAGGATTGCAAGGAATCCCACCCCGCCCACCCCAAGTGCAGACTGTCACATCTGTGGTGTATGTCTGCTCACCTCCTGAGTGATTCATTCCCTGACCAAGAGGGTGGTGGCATTCTGAATAGGCAGGCCTGACAATTTTTCTTTAGCATAATCATTGCTCAATTAATCACCATCTGTGCTGGAAATGATCGTGAGAACTTTTGTCTGATGAAATGAGAGATGCCCTATCTTCCCGGATGCCCTTTGTCACTCCTTCATTACAGCTGAGGCATCAGAGTTCAGGAGGCTTGGTTCTCACCCACATCAACACACCGCTGCCAGGAGAGTGGGATGGGCGGGGTGAAGACAGGAGCAGGATTCACAAAGACCACTCGGGCAGTGGGTCTGTGAGCAAAGCCAGAGGGTTAAAAGCTAAAAGCATGGGCAAAGTTGGCAACTGGACTAGGATGGAAACTGGAGGCCAAGAGAAGATAGCAGAGGAAAGGGAACATTTCTAGGGAGCCTAGGTGAATGGGGGAAAGAGAAATAGGTGGGGTGCTTGGACTGCCTCCGCACCACATCAGATCTGTAGGGTATTAACCTTTTGTGCATACAAGATAGATGCTGGCCAATTAATTCAGCAATTCTGTTCAACAAATACTGAGATGCCAGGTATTCTTCCCTGGGGATACAAATACAAACAAAGCAGTCATAGTCCCTGATTTTACTAAGTTCATTATGGTTTGAATGCCAGCTGAGAATTTGCACTTGTAACAAGTTCGCTGCTAAGAATTTGCATTTCCACCCCAGGTATACTGAATCAGAATCTGCATTTTAAAAAGATCCCCCCTCCATGATTCTTATGTCCTTCCTAGGAACTTGTTAGAAATGCAAATTCTCAGCAGGAACTTCCAACGAACTGGTTGGAAGCCCTGGTTTGAAGTCTATCATGGAAAACAAACAGGCAACTACAATGTAGACTAATAAGGGCCAACATGGGAGTGAACGAGGAGGAAAGCAGCAACACCACTTGGGGATCAGGAAGACTCTGGTGAAGCGAAATCTCCTTGGGTCTGAAAGATGAATATGAACTAGCCATATAATGGGGATGGGGTCTCCAGACTGAGTGGGGCAATGTGTGAAGGCCTAAAGGTGAACGTTACAGTACAGTTAAATATGGAGGGCGGAGGTAGGGAAAGATGTAACTCTAGTAGCCAATGGCTGTATCATGAAGGGCTCAGCAAGCCAGGTTAGAGTTTATTCTGAGAGCAATCCACAACTAGTCCATAAACTCCATGATAATTGGTGTCTCCACAGCAACAGAACAATGCTTGGTACATGATAACCATACAATAACCCACTGCTGTCAAGTTGATTTCAACTCATAGCGACCTTATAGGACAGAGTACAACTGCCCCATAGGGTTTCCAAGGAGTCGCTGGTGGATTCAAACTGCTGACCTTTTGGTTGGCAGCCAAGCTCTTAACCACTAGGCCACCAGGGCTCCTAGCACATGACAGGGGGTCGATAAATATTAAATGGATGGATGAATAGCAATGCGGAGATACTAAAGGACTGTCATGTCTGATGGTTCCTAACATCAAAATATTAACCATACAGTCTTTTATTTCACACTAAAGGTAAAAAAGTAAACTTGCAATCGCTGGCCATGCTATCAAACCCAGTCATACTAAGAGAGTAATCAAAGTACAAACAAAATCAGATGCCGTCTGTTTGGGGAGGGTACTGGGAAAGCGAGAAGTGAGCAGGAACTGTGGAAGGGAAATTCTGATGACTTCACCTTTTTGCCCAGGGCTGGAATTCTCTTCCCTCTGCTGAGAAAGATCATATAAAAGCTGTGCAGGACATATGATGAAGTTTTTTGGTTTATTTTTAAATTTCATTTCTCATAAAAGAGCGCTTTCATTCCAGGTAATTCATTGAGTAAAGTAATGGCCCTTCATATTTGAAGGTATTATTGGCTGTGATTATGATTTGTGTGGCTGGAAGGATAGGGATAATCACTCAATGAGACAATGTTCTATGGATTTTTCCCATTTCTACACATCGTGAAAGCAAGGCACTAAATGTTCTTTGTTCTAGACTACCTTTTCAAGGATGTTTGTATCAGTCTCCCTCTGGAGCAAAGGGTAAGCATGCTGACTGCCCACTATAAGATTTGGGTTTCCTAAGCTCTAGGGCTCCTCTCCTGTAATGTGATCCACTGCACGTGCAACCATTCATCTGGACCCACTTGTATTGCTCCCTTGGGACTTGGGGGCAAGAGGAACTGATGCAAATAATGCTAAAGCTTTTACTGCTTGCTGGGCTATGAGTAACAAAGTCCTTTGTTTCTGACCCTGGAGCCTCGTATCTTCTGCCAGTATCCATGAAGCTCTGGCAGGCTAGCTTATTAGCTGACAAGTAGAGTAAAATCTCAGACTTTTCACCATTCTTGACACACTCTATTCAGAAATAGTGTACTACCACATTTCTGCATTCTTGGTCCTGATTTGTTTACCTGAACAATGCAAATTCTTGCCCTGCTAGTTACAGTATAGGAGCCCTGGTGGTACAGTTGTTAAATGCTCGGCTGCTAACCAAAAGGTCAGCGGTTAAAACCCATCAGCCACTCCATGGGAGAAAGATGTGGCAATCTGCTTCCATAAAGATTACAGCCCTGGAAACCCTATGGGGCAGTTCTACTATGTCCTATATGGACTCAACAGCAAGGGGTAGTTGTAGTATATTAACTGTTTTAAAAAGACTACAAAATCTAAAAGCCTCCTTTACATACTTTCCCAACAGATATCTTCTAAAGGGGGCCAAGACCAAGACCAAGACTAAGCCCAAGCCCAAGCCCGTTGCCGTAGAGTCGAGTCTGACTCATAACCAACCCTACAGGACAGAGTAGCACTGCCCCACAGGATTTCTAAGGAGCAGCTGGTGGATTCAAACTGCCAACCTTATGGTTAGCAGCCAAGCGCTTAATCCCTGCACCACTAGGGCAGCCTCTGAAGGGGCAGTAGGTGTCAAAAAGGTCTAAGCTACAGTACTTAAATAGCAAAAATATATAAAGAAAACAAAAAATCAAGAAACTGCAATAAAAAGAATTTCAGAGAAGTCATTTTTTACAAAACATAAATAAACATTTTTAATTCACTATACTCCATTATTAGCGGTCGTTCCTGTCTAAAGTGAGAAAGGACAATTAATACAGTGGAAGACGTTTTCTGCTTTGTTTTTAAATGGACCACTAAGCCAAGATTTGTATCTCTGTATGGAACTGATTCTCAACGGGACAGAAATGGTCTTTGATCTTTTTGAACCACTTGTCTTCAAATTCTTTTGAAGATGCAGTCACCAAGGCAGTCAAAGCAGCAGAGCCTACACACTTCACCTCCGTGTGAACTTCGTCTTTTATTTTCTCTGGAACAATATCTTCTCCCATAACCTGCAGCAGGAGGGAAAAAAACGCCCCAATAAAAGCAGCAGCAGATATGGAATGAAAGGCTTTCCTACAAAAGCAGAAAATACTTTGGCAGCCAGGGGACATTTCCAACATATTGAAGAGATGTTTATTCACAAGCAGAGATGATCCAAGGACCATATTACATAAAATATCCCACATTTCTACTCTCATCCTCTCCTGGGTGAAATAATCACCCAGCAATACTATTTAGCCTACTTGGAGTACTAAGTCAACCTTTTTATATCAAAGAGCACACTCTGTTGGCAAGAATACAACCGCGAGTGATTCTCCCTCGTTGTAAAATGGCTGAAAAGGAAGGGGCAGAGCTTGGGTAGAATGTAACTGCTGCCCTGTGTGGAGCAGATTCTGTCTCTTAGAAGTTCTCCAAAGAAGTCAAAGGCAGCAAACAATCAAGTAGCAAGTAGCTGGGCTCACCCTTTCCTGATCCAGAAAGAAGACTACAATCCCTCTGTAAATGTTACTAAATCAATCTCAGGGACTTAAGGAGCACTGGCCCAATGAGGGCACAATACTGCTCCCTACTGGTCAGAATGAGACCCAATGAACACAGTATCATGCCCAGGGCTTCAAACCGGTTTGAACCAGTTAAGTCACGGCCAACAAAGAGAAAAAGGGACAAAAGTTTTTACAATTTGGGTGATCTGGAATGATAACCAGAACGGGAAAAATTGCAGGTCAAGGATGTAAGGGCACACCCACCAACAGATACAGGTTTGGTGGCAGATATTTCTATATACATGACTGTAGATGCTCCTCATATATTAATACAGACAATAGAGCACAGTCAGGGAAACCTCTTAGATATAACCAAACACCTCACAGGATGAAGTTCCTAGGCTCAAAGGCAAAGGACCACAGACTCGAGGGACATCTACATCAATTGGGTGCTGTGGGGTCAGGGAGATGGAAGGGTCATAGAGCACTGACTTCACAGGAACAAATCTGGACTGCTTCAGTGGGAGGAGTCTTTGTCTGGGAGCCTTGTTCTTTTCTCTCTAAATTATTTGTGTTTTTAATCACTTGACTTGCTCTTTTGACGCAGGAAACTCTTTTGAGAAAACTTCTGCATCCTACTTTGGTGAGTAGTGTCTAGGGTCTTAAAAGCTTGCAAGCAGCCATCTAAGATAGGACTATTGGTCTCTTCCCATCTGGAGCAAAGGAGAGTGAAGAAAACCAAAGACTCGAAGGAGCAATTAGTCCAAATGACTAATGGACCACATGACCCACAGCCTACACAACCCCAAGACCAGAAGAACTAGATGGTACCTGGCTACCACTACTGACTGCTCTGACCGGGATCACAACAGAGGGTCCCAGACAGAGTGGGAGAAAAATACAGAACAAAAAATCAAACTCACAAAAAAAGACCAGACTTACTGGTCTAACATAGACTGGAGGAACTCCCAAGACTATGGCCTTAAGACAACCCTTCTGACCTGGAACTGAAGCCGTTCCCGAAGACCACCTTCCAGCCAAACAATAAACAAACCCATAAAATAAACAATAACACCCGAGAGGAATGTGCTCCTCAGAACAATCAACTATACGAGATCAAAAAGGCAAAATTTGCCCAAAAGCAAAAATGAGAAGGCAGAAGGGGTAGAAAATCAGGATGAAAGGAAACAAGGAAATCAGGGTGGAAATGGGGAGAGAGAGTGCCAACACATTGTGGGGAATGCAACCAAGGCCATGAAACACTTTATGTACAAACTATCAAATGGGAATCTAATTCCTAAACTTTCACCTCACACACTATATATATATATATATATAGATATAAACAAACAAACAAATAAATAGGAGGTAAAAAAATAAATAAATAAAATACAGGTCGAAGCCCTGGAATGGGAGACTCAGAAGAGGCGCAGTGAGCCTGTCCAGGAGCCTGATGCATGAGACTGGGTTATTGGCACAACTGTGGAGAGCGACATACATTCAAAGTGGCAAGGTCAGCCACCATCGCTGTTTCCGACTCTGCTCAAAATCCCACAGGCAAGAGATCTGGTTGCTATGCAACTCGTGGGCTGCCCTTGTTTTCCAAGAGGGAGATTAGGTTTCTAGCAGGGCTTCAAGCAGTAATATTTCCCATTCCAGTTATCATTTAGGTTCACCCAAATTCTATAAAATTCACATTTGTTTCGGTTTCGCTTCCTCCATCATGACGGAACCGGGAAGAACTGATTCAAAGCCCTGGTCTTGTCTTCATAATCATAAACTGGATTCTGGCTCTTTGAGAAAACATCCAGAAAGTCAAATTGTAGAAAGCCTGTACCTGACCCCACCAAGTGGTCAGCCCCACCTTTGGTAAGAATGGTGAGCTAAAATTACATCCCGAAACAGTCCACACTATTTGGCATCAAAGGTTATGTAGCTGTTTGGCAGAGATGCTATGCAGGGAATTTAAGTCAGACGGATTTGGACTAGATGATCTCCAAGGTTCTTACAAACTTTGAGATTCAACCTGTGTATGAAAACTCAAATTATAATGTAGTAAAAGCACACTCAAAGAATGGTTTCTACTGGCTATTTAGGTCATCAAAGACTATATATTGTGGGTCTGAAAAGCTTGCGAGCAGCCATCTAAGATACATCTATTGGTCCCAACCCATCCGGAGCAAAGCAGAGTGAAGAAAACCAAAGACACAAGGAATATATTAGTCCAAAGGCATGAATCACAGCCTCTACCAGCCTGAGCCTACAAGAACCAGATGGTGCTTGGCTACCGCCACCAACTGCTCTGACAGGGATCACAAGAGAAGGTCCTGGACAGAGTGGGAGAAAAATGTAGAACAAAATTCAAATTCACACACACACACACACAAACAGACTTACTAGTCTGACAGAGACTAGAGGAACCCCCGAGACTATGGCCCCCAGACACCCTGCTAACTCAGAACTGAAGTCACTCCCAAAGTCCACCTTTCAGCCAAAGATTAGAACAGGCATATAAAACAAACCATAACACAGGTGAGGGACATGCTTCTTAGCTCCATTAAGTATATGAGACCCAATGGGCAACACTTGCCCAAAAGCAAGGATGAGAAAGCAGGAAAGGACAGGAAAAACAGACGAACGGACATAGGGAACCTGGGGTGGAAAGGGAAAGAGAGAGAGTGCTGACACAATGAGAGGTCTGCAACCAACGTCACAAAACAATCTGTGTATAAATTTTTGAATGAGAAACTAATTGTGCTGTAATCTTTCACCTAAAGCACAATAAAATAAAAGACTATATATTACTTGAGGCAAGAGAAGACGAAATACATAGCTGAATCAGGCAACGATTCATATTTGTTAAAGCATGGTATTTTATCAATTTAAGACACTTCTTTTTTTAAGGGGAATATTTACTTTTTATTTTTAACCTGTCCTTTTATTTTTTTTATTATTGTACTTTAGAGGAAGGTTTACAGAACAAACCAGCTTCTCGTTAAACAGTTAGTACACATATTGTTTTGTGACATTCGTTACCAACCTCATGACATGTCAAAGGACACTTTCTTTTTCTGTATTTTAACAGCTCTGAAATCAAGCTGTATCTCACAACCACTGGCATGTCACAGTGTCATTGGTAGCTTTTGTTCTTTTAGTGGCACAGAAAGTAATGACATGTCTTACAATGGATGAATTTTCTTATTCAATGAAATGCAGTATTTTAAAATCTGGAATAAAACAAAAAAAAAAGTTTGTTTAAAAAAATAGAGAATATAACTAATGTCACTGAATTGTATACTTGACAATGGTTAAAATGGCAAACTTTTTGTTATATATATTTTACCATAATAATTTTTTAAAAAATAGAGAGAATGTTGAATAAGAGTAATATCCAAACTGTACAACACTCCAAAAAGTGGTACAGGCAGGCGCATCATTCATGGGTTAGAAAATCTGCCAAAATATTTGACAATGTAAAAATTTAAAATTTCTATATGCCAGAAAGTATTAAACTTTAGGAAATAGTGCAAACAAATAAAGGTCAGTAGGTCTATCTATAGCGCTCTTAAAATTTGTTTAAGAAAAGTAGAAATATACTAATAATGAACAGAAAATATGATAAGGCAATTCACAAAATATAAATGGTCAATAAACACGAAGAAGTTCATCTCGACAGTAATCAAGCAATCAACATTAATACAATGTGATGATTTTACCTGCCAAATTAGCAGATTTTAAAAAGATATTAAGTTGAACTCTATAAAATTGCTGTTTTTGTAAGTCAAAAAATGATTGAATATTGACAGTTTTGTACGGTTCAGCTAATACCTAGGATTGGGGTAGGGAAACCAGGATACTCATACACTCCTGGAGGGTATGAAACGGAACCAGCCTTTCTGAATGGCAATTTGAAATGTGCTTCAAATCTTTGCAGTGTTCATATACTTTGACCTAGTAATTATATTTCTAGTAATAAAGGGGACAAATGCATACGGGGATTTATTTGCAAGGACTTATTAAAATAGGTACTGAATACCTGTAAAATGTTCAACATAGGGGACTGAGTAAATAAATCAGAGCTGATTCAAAAACTGGACTACTATCCAGCTATTAAAAATCATGAGCTCAAAGAATAGTTAGTTAAGGGTGCAGAGCCATGCTCACGTCACAACGTTAAGTAAAAATAACAGCACGTAAAATAAAATGTATGGTATAATCCCAATAAGGATCCAGACATTGTCTTTTTTAAAAAAAACTCCACAGGTATTTCACATGCAATGTCCAGGTGAAGAACTACAAAGTTCAATCGATTAACAGATTCACTGAGCACAGTGAAGGATACAAAGATAAGATATATCTCACTTAAAAAGGAGCCCAAAAGGACAACACGAAATACAGGGAAGTCAGCACAACTGGACTAAACCAAAGGCTAAAAAGTTTCCTGAACACAACCAAACACTTAAAGGGACAGAGTAGCAGGGGCAGGGGTCTGGGGACCATGGTTTCAAGGGATATGTACGTCAACTGGCATAACAAAGTTTATTAAGAAAATCTGCATCCCAGTTTGGTGAGCGGCATCTGGGGTCTCAAACGCTTTCAAGCGGCCATCTAAGATGCATGAATTGGTCCCAACCCACCTGGAGCAAAGAAGAATACCAAAGACTCAAGGAAAATGTCAGCTCAAGAGACAAAACGGCCATATAGACCAGAAACTACGTCAGCCTTAGACCAGAAGAACTAGATGGTGCCCAGCTACCAACAACCACCACCCTGACAGGGAACAAAACAGAGTCCCTGATGGAGCAGGAGAAAAGTGTGGTGCAGACGTCAAATTCACATAGAAAAGACCGGACTTAATGGTCTGACTGAGAACAGAGGAACCCCAGACGACATGGCCCCCAGACTCTCTGTTAACCCAGAACTAAAACCATTCCTGAAGCCGAATCTTCAGACAAAGATTAGACTGGACTATAAAACATAAAATAATACTCATGAAGAGTAAGCTTCTTAGCTCAAGTAGATACATGAGACTAAATGGGCAGCTCCTGTCCGGAGGTGAGATGAGAAAGCAGAAAGGGATAGGAGCTGGTTGAATGGACAAGGGAAATGTGGGGCAGAAAGGGGGAGTGTGCTGTCACATTACAGAGATAGCAACTAGGGTCACATAACAATATGCATATAAATTTTTGTACGAGAAATTTAACTTGAGCCATAAACTTTCACCTAAAGCACAATTAAAAAAAAAAAAAAAGAAAGAAAGAAACTGTTCTGAATCTCACTTTGGTGAGCGGCATCTGGGGGAAAAAAAAGGAGCCCAAAACCTAGTTGAAAAGAGAAGACATGTTCTTGTGTATTTTTATTGCCCAGAGACCTATCTACTCTATGAAAAACAGTCCCTGCCTTCTCTCCAGGGAATGATGCTGAAGGGGTCACTTCTGGTGACTGTTAAGTGATCCAAAGACACATAAAGGAGGGAGACAAAAGTCCTTCAGAAGATGAGATTTGGTCATGTCTTTTAAAAAAAAATATCTGAGCCAGGAAAAATAACTATGATGTCTCGTTTCACAGAAACCCTAGGAGATATACTCACCTCAGAAATCAACAGCAAAGTTTCTTCTTTGAAGCGGAACGCTTTCATTTTATCTTCAATTTCCTGCTGAGTCTTTAAGTTCCTCTCCAAAGCAAATGATGTTTGCTGAGACTGAGTGAGCTGAAGCAAAAGCCTGGAAAACAGAGAAGTCCCCACGGGCAGAAAGGGCGGCGCTGAGGAAACGTTCACGTGTGGCACAGGTGCTCAGCTGGATGTGAGTCCTACTAGGCTATAAACAAGGGCCCCTCCCCACTACAACAATCATTTGAATCCCCAGAGCTTCTCACTCTGAACAAATTGCCCAACTTTACGTTTAACATTCACCATTTCTAAAATTAGTAGACCAAAGCTTCTCAAAGAAATCTTTAGGGAGGGAAACCTCAAAAGAGTTTCCTGCGTCAAAAGAGCAAGTCAAGTGATTAAAAACACAAATAATTTAGAGAGAAAAGAACAAGGCTCCCAAACAAAGACTCCTCCCACCGAAGCAGTCCAGATTTGTTCCTGTGAAGTCAGTGCTCTATGACCCTTCCATCTCCCTGATCCCACAGCGCCCTGACCGCAAGACTAACTAGATTCTCTAGCACACTTGGACTCCTCAAAAGAGGGCCAAGTCTCAACTCTGATCACCACTTTCCAATTGCCTTACAGTACCTTCCCCATCGTGATCACAGCTGGTCTCTCATTCTTCCTCCAGTCCTCCTCACAAGGCTCCATGCCTTTGTTTTTAACATAGTGAATGTGGAGAACATTTTCCATTTTCCTCAGGCCTCCCTGGTTCCCTGCTGTTATGCCCAGAAGCCCACAGCTCTCTTCTTCACTCATTTCACGCACTGAGGAGTGTGCCAGACACTGCTCGAGACACTGGGGAGCAAAACAGACAGGTTCCTGCCTTATGGAATGGAAGGAGAGAGACCACAAGAAAAAGAAATCCAAGACAGGGTGGATAAGTGTCTACTGTAAGTGGGACAGCGAACGAAGGCTTTTCTGAGATGACATTCAAGCTAAAGCCTGAATGACAAGGAACCAGCCACAAGAATATCTGGGCAAGAGGGCTTGGGACGGAAAAAGTCCCTGACACAAGAACTAGCTTGATTGATGTGTTTGAAAAACATAATCACTGTGGCCAGAATACAGTGAGGGATAAAAAAAATTGTAGGAAATGAGGACAGAAAGACAGGCAAGGTCAACTCACATGCGACTTTGCAGGCCATGGAAAGGAACCTGGACTTTATCTAGGTGCAGTGGAAGCCAAACACCTGTACCCATTGCCGTTGAGTTGATTCCCACTCACAGTGACCCTAGTGGAAGCCAAACGAGAATTTTATAAAGGGAGTAGCATGTTCTGATTTACATATAAAAAGACCACTGTGGCTGCTTCAGTCTAATTTGTTTATATTACCGACCTGGCCTCTGAAGGCAGTTATACTTGTGACCCCTTTTATGCCCTTGCTTTCTCCCTCTTGTTCCTTAAATTACTTGAAAATGCACCTTCTACTTGTTCTTCTATTCATATGTTCATTCATTCCTCAACCCTCTGCCATCTGCCTTGTCATCCCATCACTCTGCTGAAACCGCCCGCTCAAAAGTCACAAATGACCTCTAAATTTTTCAAATCTTCTCAGGACTGATCCTAACTTCTCACTACCATCTGATTGCTGGATTGCTGATCAATCTCTTTCCTGAAACTTCTAAATCTCTAGCTCCTTCTGCGCTCCAGACTCCCATTTTCTAGTGCAAAACTCCAGCTGGGTGGATAAAATCATGATCTTCCCGGGGACCCTCTCAGTGAGAGGCACCACCATCCACTCACGCCCCTCCCCACATCAGTGGCCACCAGGTCCTGTCCATTCTATCCTGCAGTGGCCTCCACTTGTCTCTGTTTTTATCACCATATACTCTCCTAGGTCAGGCCCTCATCTCCTTTACCAATTATTCCACAACCTCTTCTCTGGTCTCGCTAGCTCCAAACACCTTCTAATCCATCAACCCAGCCACCAGATCGCTCTTTCTAGATCAAAGGTCTTATCACGTCACTCCAATATCTAAGACCCTCAAATACTCTCACATATTTAAAACCCGTACGTCAAAAATGGTTGCAGTAGCACAGTGACAGGGAACTGCCAGAAATTCAAGCCACATTCAGAAGAGGACGTGGAATGAGGGATATCACTGCTGATATCAGACGGATCTTGACTGAAAGCAGAGAATACCAGAAAGATGTTTACCTCTGTTTTATTGACTATGCAAAGGCATTCGACTGTGTGGATCATAACAAATTATGGATAACACTGAGAAGAATGGGAATTCTAGAATGCTTAATTGTGCTCATGAGGAACCTGTACATGGATCAAGAGGTAGTTGTTCGAACAGAACAAGGGGATACTGCGTGGTTTACAGTCAGAAAAGGTGTACATCAGGGTTGTATCCTTTCACCATACCTATTCAATCTTTACGCTGAGCAAGTAATCTGAGAAGCTGGACTATGTGAAGAAGAATGGGGCATCAGGATTGGAGGAAGACTCATTAACAACCTGCGATGTGCAGATGACACAACCTTGCTTGCTGAAAGTGAAGAGGACTTGAAGCACTTACTGATGAAGATCAAAGACCACAGCCTTCAGTAAGGATTACATCTCAACATAAAGAAAACAAAAATCCTCACAACTGGACCAGTAAGCAACATCATGATAAACGGAGGAAAGACTGAAGTTGTCAAGGATTTCATTTTACTTGCATCCATAATCAACACTCATGGAAGCAGCAGTCGAGAAATCAAATGATATACTGCACTGGGCAAATCTGCTGCAAAAAACCTCTTTAAAGTGTTAAAAAGCTCCCTGAGGGACTGAGTTACTGGGCTGAGGGCTGGGGACCATGGTCTTGGGGCACATCTAGCTCGACTGGCATAACACAGTTTATAAAGAGAATGTTCTACATCCTACTTTGGTGAGGAGCGTCTGGGGTCTTAAAAGCTGTGAGCAGCCATCTAAGATACTCAACTGGTCCCACCCCATCGGGAGCAAGGGAGAATGAAGAAAACCAAAGACACAAGGGAAAGATTAGTCCAAAGGACTAATGAACCACAACTACCACAGCCTCCACCAGACTGAGCCCAGTACAACTAGATGGTACCCAGCTACCACCGCCGACTGCTCTGACAGGGATCACAACAGATGGCCCTCGACAGAGCTGGAGAAAAACGTAGAACAAAATTCAAACTCACAAAAGAAGACCAGACTTACTGACCTGACAGAGAATGGAGAAACTCCAAGAATATGGCCCCCGGACACCCTTTTAACTCATTACTGAAGTCACTCCTGAGGCTCACCCTTCAGCCAAAGATTAGACAAGCCCATAAAACAAAACCAAACTAAACTGGCACATCGGCCCAGGGGCAAGGACGAGAAGGCAGGAGGGGACAGGAAAGCTGGTAACGGGGAACCCAAGGTCGACAAAGGGAGAGTGTTGACATGTCGTGGGGTTGGCAACCAATGTCACAAACAGTATGTGTATTAACTTTAATGAGAAACTAATCTGCTCTGTAAACCTTCATCTAAAGTACAATTAAAAAAAAAAGGGGTTAAAAAGCAAAGATGTCACTTTGAGGACTAAGGTGCGCCTGACCCAACCCACGGTATTTTCAGTTACCTCATATGCATGCAAAAGCTGGACAATAAGGGAAACCGAAGAAGAATCGATGCCTTTGAGTTATGGTGTTGGCAAAGAATACTAAATATACCATGGGCTGCCAGAAGAATGAAAAATCTGTCTTGGAAGAAGTAAATCAGAATGCTCTTTAGAAACAAGGAGAGCAAGACTCTGTCTCACATACTCTGGACATGTTATCAGGAGGGAGCAGTCTCTGCAGAAGGACATCATGCTTGGCAAAGTAGAGGGTCAGTAAAAAAGAGGAAGACCCTCAACGAGATGGACTGACACAGTGGCTGCAGCAATGGGCTCCTGTGAGGATGGTGCAGGATCCAGCAGTGCTTACAGTAAGTCCCCAGGTTATGAACGTCTGACTTACTACGCTCCCTTCAGTGTTAGGTAAATTTGCCCTCACTTTGAAAGGACTGAACCAACCCCTACTCGCAACAAATTCTTCATCACAATCACCGTCACTTGCTACACATGCAGCTTTTAAGTTACTGAAAAGGCTTCAAACCTTTACTTGCGCTAAAAAAACTCACTGCCGTCGAGTCGATTCTGACTGATAGCAACCCTACAGGATAGAGTCCTAGAACTGCCCCATAGGGTTTCCAAGGAGCGGCTGGTGGATTCGAACTGCCAACTTTTTGGTTAGCAGCCCAACACTTAACCACTGTGCCACCAGGGCTCCATGTCCAGCTTTTAAATCACTGAAAAGGCTTTAAGCCTTTTCTTGCACTAAAGTAAGGCTAAATAAGAACCGTATACACTTGTTTCGACTTACCTACATATTCGACTTAAAGACACAGTTAGGAATGGATCTCGTGCATAACCTAGGGACTGTTTATACACAGGGTCGCTATGAGTCGGAAGTGACTCGACAGCACCTAACAAGAACAACTCCCATTATTAGTGATTCAAACACAAGAGCAGATTTTCTTCCTTAGCATATTTCTGTGGAATATGAGTGAAAAATTCCTTGCTTAAAATACTTCTCCCCTTTTCAAGGTTTTATAAATTTAGTTTTCTTAATTTTTACATTTTCCAATTTGCACATCCATCCCATCTTGGGCAATGACACAAGTTATATTCTTGAACAAATGGAGCTTTGTTTCTAAATTCACACACAAAAATGACACATGTTCAAAGGATTCTGTCTAGATCAGAGGAAAAATCTCAAAAACACATACCAAGTGCCCAGCCTAGAACATTCTGAAGTTTAAACTTAGAAAAACAAAGCCTTTACTCTGAGCGTTTGACCGTGTTATTTAATCCGTTCTTAGCTTACCTGGTTCTTACAAAAGCGGCACATGCTTTTATCTGAGTTTCTATCAACACTGCCTCTCTCTTTTCTGACACAGAGCTCTGAGTATTTTTAAGAGCTTTCTCATTTTGCTGGCTGTCACTGCTGCTTGCGTCCATAGAAAACTTAGAGCTCTCAGGCGAGATTTCAGGGATACATAAAAGACAGTCTTTTCCTGAGTGAGGAGAGGAGGATTTGATAGCTTTGTCACTTGAGGTGAAACTGTTCCGTTTCTGAGATGACGCCAAGAGAGCTGGCCCCAGATTCAGGTAAGCCTCTGCCAATTTGCCCCAGTTCCAAGGGTTAAA